TCATTGATAAACTCTTAGTAAGTCTGTACCGAACTAGTTCACATCTCACAGTCATATCTAAACTCATTGGTAAAAATCAATAAATACTTCAACTACAGATCAAGGGCTTATACGGGAAGTCTTATTCCTTCACTTTTCTTAAATTCTTCCCATGACACAAAATTCTAAATATCTTAAACCCTTCAATACACCAGACTCTTGTTCTTTTTGTTGACTCGCTCACCAATCTTATTCTTTGGCCAACAACCCTTGACGCTTTTACCTTATCCTCTAAATAAAAACTTTGAATGAAACCCTTCCTTAGGTCCTTTGAAAATCAAAACAACACACTTTATGACTCAAAGCATATACCAGTCCTTCCAAATGCTCAATATTCAATGCGATCGATCATTTCTTACCTTACCAATCCACACCTTGAAAAATACACTAACATGAACCTAAACTCACCATGAAAACTTGAATTTTGAATCCAACTGTGTAACTTAATCCCTTTAACTATTAACATTAGCTCATACCTTGAAGATTTTTATGAATTTACGTATCTTAGTTTATCATTGATCGCCTTTCCATTTACCTTATCATATCTTTCGCTAAAAATCCTACCATACTCATTATCAAACTCAAAACCACAAAAGAACTAATCATCATACTCGAGATGAACGTCCATACACTTATTTCTCAAGTTTTATCTAATAGTTTTTAATCAATTTGATGATCTTGTGACACTATATATTACCATAATCAGAGCAAAACGGGTGAAATCACGTATCTTTGAACCCAATTTTTATACGCACTTTCTTACTAAAATTGTCAATTACGTTCACACAAGTATACTCGTTGAGACTTCCTTTACCTATAAGCTTGTCATCCTAACGTCGATCCACTTCCAAGGAGCTTACGGTTAAATTAACACTCATCTAAAATCCTCAAGATACATTTCACAACCTAAACACATCAATATCATACCAAAGATCCACCACTAAAAGCTTTCTTATAAATAATGCTTAACCCATCCATCCACATGAACAACCTAATTGGTTTCTCAAATGTAAATGCAATACCGAATCTCATTATACGAGCATATGATACAACTGATAACTATTTAAGTAGTTAGTATTCGCACTTGACAATTGACATATCCGTTTCCATGTACCACTAGTACCACATCGTGAAAGTCTGTTGGATCTACTACTATAACACATTATACCTATCGAAAAGATTATACCCAAATAACTCACACATTTCTATCAATTGAATAACTGCAAAACATTATCAAATTCGTTCTATCTCTATCCCAAGCGATATGCATTCTTTCGTAGATCAGGTCTATAACAAGAGTAACACATTCCATAACTCTAAAAATAAGAATTGGCACCATTGTAATAGTCGTATCATGACCTTCTTTGGTATACACTCAATCTATGAAACCACAAAAGAGATTCTAACCTCAATTGGTGCAACATCATTCTCATCATTCGCTAAGTAACTAATACCTGTTATGACAACTTCACTAATTGTAGTTTCCAATGATACATGTCCATTATCTAGCCATCATTTTAATCACTTCACTTCCAATTGTTAAACCACTTTAAATATCGTATAGACCACATAAGTACTATTCTCTTTACTGGGGTAACTAACCTTACCCAACCCCCTCAAATTGCTGAACATTCTTAGTCTGACCAAGCCTCATTTCAATAACATTATCACTTCCAAACCAAATCTAGACTCCAAGCCATACACAACACCCCAACTACCCACATGAGGAACTACGCACGAGTAATCACTATAAGTAAGACTGAATGGAGTGAAGCGATAAGAATCAAAACCGGACCAAGTACGCACGATAGAGATCCAAGAAGTGAGGATTTTTCTTAAAAGTCATTATAGCCTCTCGAAGATAAGTACAGACGTCTCCGTACCGATCCTCGAGATTCTACTTAGACTCAGCTTGTACACACGTGAGACCTATGAACCTGGGGCTCTGATACCATTTTGTCACGACCCAAAAATGAACGTGATGGCACTCGTCTTATCCCACCAAGACAAGTCAGCCTAACACTCACCCATTACAATAATATGCGGAAATTTCATAATTAACTCAAAAATACCCCTAAAATCTGGTTGTCACGTGCACAAGCCTTTAAAGTATTACAATTGAATCAAAAGAAAAATACAAGTCTCATATGACATTGTTTCTAGAGTAGAACAAGATCATAAACAGGAGTAAGAAGGATCGCTGAGAAGACAAACAACTACCTTACAAATCTCCCAGAAGCCTCGAAAAAGAAGAGAATAACAAGTACCACAAAAATCCAGGCTCGTAACCTACAAAAATTTGTAGAAGCAAGGGGTGAGTACCAAACCACACGGTACTCAACAAGTAAACCTCTAAACACGAGCTAAGGGGATAGAATACGAGTACTCCTTACACCCAACCGAACCTTCACAACTACAATCTGTATAAAACCAGCCCAACCTAACAGTTCAAAGTTTACAAAGCACATAGCTCAACACAACACTCTAACAATTTCATATCCTCAACAACAACAATAGTTTCATATCCTCAACAGCAACACTCTAACAATTGCATATCTTCAACAACAAGCTCAATAATTTATCAGTCACAAGTTCCATAGAAAGACACTCACAAGATCAGCAACACACAAGATCAAGTTCACCAATAATAAAGAAGTGCAATGCAATGAAATGCAATGTCAAGTATAGTGATGCATGTCTGACCTAATGATACACACCCGCTGTCTCTCAGTCCGGGACCCATGGGGGACATATCTGTCCATGCATCCATCGCGGCGTGTGATACGACCCTCGATAATAGTAACCATCGCGGCGCACGATACGTCCCTCGAAATATAGTATCCGTCGCGGCGCGCGACACGTCCCTCGAAATATAGTATCCATCGCGGCGCGCGATACGTCCCTCGAAATGGTACATCCTCTTTATTTTCTTATTCTTTCTCAATGCACATAACACTTGTCAGAACCATGTCTCAGAACAATGCAAATGACATGTTCACACAAATAATGAGGAGATGACCATTTTCATAACATTGCATAATTCACAACAAGACAATCAGGATACAACATCAACAATGATTTAACAAGCCTTTCAAACAATTCTCAACACATCACAAAAACAATTGATCACATTACTCTCAACCATATACCACAAGGAAATACACGAATTCTATACGCTTAACAAGGGTTTAAAAATCTACTTGCCTCAAATAGTAGAACAATCACTCCGGGACTTGAGTCTTCCCTTTCGTTGTACTTCCAACTCAAAGCAATCTATTCACATTAATAATCACTATAAGATTTCGAAACTAACAACACCCATTACTATGATCCCAAAATTCACTTCAAAGTTGAATCTATGCCCACAAGGACATAACTGAAATTTTATTAAAACTATATTACTCATATCATAGACCCCAAATTTATAACATGTAAACAAATTATAGGAGCAAAATTGTTGGACCATTGCCTTGAAAACATACGGACATTAAGCATGGAGATTTCCAGATCCTAGCTTTAACCCATTAAATAAGCAGTGTACTATAATTTATTAGAAAAAGATCACAAGTAAAATGAACGAATCTGCCATGTATTTCTTAAAATTATAAAATATCTACTCCCTTAGTATACATAAATCTTTATAATACAATTAAATATTAAAGTAACCACCACAAAATCCTATAGTATATAGCTCTTAAACAAATCCAAAACTGTCATCTAACATACCTTCTAATTATTTATTTATTTATTTTTTTACATAATTGCTTTTGATGTTAGCCTCAATTTATATATATACATAATCACTCCCCATCATTACAATTTCATTACCTTCCTCCCTTTTTATAAAAAAAGAATATTTTTCATGTCTACAATGACAACTTTCTCACTTTTTAATTCTCTGTCAATTTCAATTATAATATAATAATGATAACAAGGATACTACCCACCGCATCTAATGATTCATTAATTCAAACTTCTTAAAGTTACTGAAACGAAATTAAGAAACATTCACCTGAAGCCGCCGTCAACTTTCTCTGCTACTAGTGTCGCGGTCATTTTTGAGTTTATGACTCAACCTAGGAACCTTAATTTTTATTAATTATGTTTTAAATATGGGTCAAATAGTATAAGGTCTTAAATAAATTATCACTTTAGCCCACTAACTATCAATTAAGTTAATTATCTATAATTACCCATCAACTAATTAACTAAAGTTAAACGAATAGTTCAGAATTTCCCAAAAATGATTTTCCGGGTCATTACATTGAGTCGAGATCGGATCTCGAGTTAAAATTAGAGGTCAGATTTTGGGTTGAGTGTTGGGGTCGGGTCTTGGATCAGGTGGCAGATCGATTATCGGGTTGATTTTCAGGTCAAAAACTATTTTCTAAAAAGTATATTTTATTTTCTAGCAAAAAATAAAAGATATTTTTCATTCACCAACCACACTCCAGAAAATATTTCACTCACCAACAAAAATAAGTTAAAAACCAACTTATTTTCCAAAAATAACAATTTTAGGAAAACATTTTCCTTCGTACCAAACACTCTTAATTTGAGCATATTCCTTCTCTAATCCTTTTCAGTTTAAAATCATAAGCAACAATTTAAAAACTAATATAGATTGTTAGTATTTGTTGTAAAAAGTATGAATAATGTCACCTTAACCCCTTACATTATATGACTATGATTTTCAAAAATAATTCTTAGATGTTAAACAAATCACTCTTGTAAGGATCTACTCAGAGTCAATCTTTAACTTTTTTTAAAAAATCCTCTGTTATCGAATAGCTTAACGTTTACAAAATTCCTCTTTTTTTAAAAAATAATCTTAACGTCCTTATTGAAAGTCGTTCTGTGAAAGTGAATCATTCAACGGTGAAGTGTTCATAAAACAGAAGGCCTCACCCAAGGAGTGGCGGAACAGAGAAGGTGGTACTAGAGGAGATAACATCTGTGTGTATCACTAAAAGCATGAGATTCGATTTCATTACCAAAAACAATGAAGGATAAAAGAGTCTGAGAGTCTTCTCAAACACTGCTAACTGAAAATACACCACTCAAGAGGACAATGTAACCAAGAAAAAGGTCGAGATTAAGATGAATAATCGATCTTCAACAAAATTGTACTTCGAAATAACTATGTCCCAATTCAATACTTGATTGGAGCAATAACGGCAAGTTGAGGTCCAAGCTTCTCCTCGGCAGCTTTCTCAGCCTTAACTCTAAGTTTTGCCAACTGCTTTCTCCTCTCGTATGCTACCTGAGCTCTCTCCTTCCTCTTGTTCTCGAGTTCCTGTTGTAGTCATGATTTCAAGGGAGAGAAGTAAGCAACTGTTTGAAACATATCCACGTACTTTAAGCATATGTTATACACTATGATTGTCTCACTGTAAAATCTTACTAAAAACACGTCATGTTGCTAGACCGAATGAGTAAACTTACCTTGATAGTATCGTAATGGTTCCATCCAACCTCTGATGAAAGCTTGCCCAAGAGACAGTACTTGTGTCCTGCTTGGAGCCTCAATACCCTGATAACAAAATACAAAAGTGTCAGTGTAACAAGAACAATGATACTAAGAATTTAACTACATCTGCAGCTTCAACTCACTTTAGAGCATCGGGAATAACCATCCTCTTAATCTTGTCATATGGGGGTGGGACACCCTCGTAAACCTTCAAGCGGGCAAGTGCAGCTGCCCCACGTTTGGTCTTGTGGGGAATCATCCTAAGGTGAAATAAACAGACTTAATTAGGCAAAAACAGTTACATGGCAAGGATATGAAATAACTACCACAGCCATAACACTCATCAATCAATCAGGAAAACAGAAAGAGAATATGAGAGTGAGCAAAAGGCGTGTTGCAATTACAAATGATATGAAATAAACATTGCACCACCTAGACATGTATACATAGTAATTGCAACACACCTTCAGTAAATGCTCATCCAGGTCCAATCCACAAGTTAAAAATCTTTATCAACATTTAAACAAATTTGTAAGGCCCTATCTACAAGTGTTACTTGACGAGTTTTGAAACTCGGCACCATGGAAATGGTAATAGCATATTCATTATGCATTGAGTAAATGCTGGAAACCATATTAACAGTCCCCCTAAACAAAACTTGTTCTTCTTACAAGATTACCAAAACTACTTGCACTGATTCCCAAAAACACCAATAGAGATTCAGCAACATTCTTCATACTACTGCAAGATAGCCCTTTTAATTTAGTCCAGTACTACTACACTATTCATGTAAAAAATAGATCTACAGCTACAACAGCTATGCCATAATTCAAAACTAGTATGGATCAATAAGGCGAGCCCCCAACATCATATATTATGCTTCTGTAGACACCTGCTCCATTCCAATGAAAATCCACAGCACCTAGCTCAGTAGCTCTTGTCAAGGCAGTATCTAACATAAACAATTTATACTTATTGAAATAGCATTATATATATACAACTGCAACAGCTATGCCTTTATTCCAAACTAGCTGGATGAATGCCTAATATCTATTATGCTTCTTTTTGGCATCCCCAGCTTCACGCTAATAATCAAAATATAGATACTTCAACATTCCCCTAAAGTGTTCTTTCACCAAGAGCTTCATGCTAATGATAAAAATCATACCTTTTAACATAAATTCAACGTTCTCAAACACGAGGGACACAAGGGACATGAAGGATACTTCAATGTGTTCCCCGAAATGATATTTCCTAACAACCAGGTGTGCACAGTATCTTCTATGCTTCTTTTTGGCACTAACAGGTTCATGCTACTCATCAAAATCACACCTTTTAACATAAATAAGGTTCTCGAACATCGAACACAAGAGATACATCAACATTCCCCTGATTGTTCTTGCATAACAACCAAGTGAATGCACCGTATCTATTATGCTTCTTTTTGGCACCAACAGCTTCACACTAATAATCAAAATCACAGCTTTTAACATAAATAAGGTTATCGAGCATCAAACACAAGAGATACATCAACATTCCCCTGAATTGTTCTTGCATAACAACTAAGTGAATGCACAGCATCTATTAAGCTTCTTTTTCGCACCAACAGCTTCACACTAATAATCAAATTCACACCTTTAACATAAATTCAACATTCTCAAATGCAACAGATCATTCAACATTACACTAACAATCGGTATCATACAAATCATTATAAAACTAAAAAAAAACACATACTTCAACAACTAAATCAAAACAACAAACAACAAAAAATGAAGGCTGGAATGAACATATCATACCCACGGATTGTACGCCAAAGGATCTTAGAAGGAGCACGAAAATGGATAGGACCATGAGATGGCTTTGTATTCATTCTCTTACGAAGAAATCTAAGATACTTCATTTTCTGGCGAACAAGTCCACCGGAAAGGCAAATCTCTTCACATCTAACAACAACAACTCTCTGTCCATTGAGAAGCTCTTTCGCCAAAATTGAAGAAAGTCTTCCAAGCATATGGTGGCGAGCATCCACCACTATCCTCCTTGCGCTGATTCCTGAACCTGATACCATTTTCTCTCTCTCCTCTTTCTCTCTCTAACACACAGACACACAGTGCTCTGCTAACCCTTGGTTGCTGCTTGTGAAGAAATGGAGAAGAAGGCTAGGGTTTTTTTAGGGGATTTAAATGGGCCGTGAATGAGTTTTATGTGGTTTGGGTTTTTTTTGTTTAAGGCCCATGGGTCATACAATTTCTTTGGTTTCTTATCCCGAGTTTGTTACCCGTTTTGGAGTCCGACTATATAAATTCACAATTGAGTAAAATATTTTCTAACGAAGACGACTCGAATATATAGGAAGGAATTCAAATCAATGACTCGTAATTTTATTTTTTTGATTTCTCATCTGGTGTTTGTTACCTGTTTTGGAATTCAACTATATATAAATTCACGTCATAAAGTCTCGTATTGAAAGATAAAGTGCTTTCTAACAGAGATGATTCCGTAGTCGGGGTTTGAATCAATGAATCATAATTTTTTTTTTTTGATTTCTCATTCAGTGATAGTGACCTGTGCTTTGGAACTCGATTATATTTAAATTTCCATATGAAAGACTCACATTGAAAAGTAGAACCCTCTCTAACCAACGACTCCGCAATTGGGGTTCGAATTAATGATTCATTACATTTTCTTTTTTGATTTCTCATTTGGTGTATGTTATCCGCTTTAGAGCTCGACTATATTTAATTCACATCGGAAGGTCTCGTATTAAAAGGTGAAACACTTCCTATTATATATTAGTTAGATAATAATTTAAAAAACTATTCAACATCATTAAAAGTAACCCGGAATCAACTTAAAACTATCATATGAAACTTCATATTATACATTAACAAGATAGTGATATACAAACCACCTAATAATGTACCATATATATATATATATACATACTCAATAATGAGTTTAGCTAAATACCTAGGATAAATATTATTTTCAAAATTTGGTTTTTTTCTATTGACCCAATTACACATCACCTTTTCTGGTCCATGCATTATGACAAAATAATCATCATCACTTGAATATGACATAACATTAAAATAAATGGATATATGTACACAAAATATTACTAGTTTATTTGAACAATAATTATGCCATAGTTTGAGTTGTTGTTTCTATATATTGATTGATTGATGAAATAACACTTAGAAATAGAGGGAATAAAGAAAAAGAAAAGGAGTTATGGGAGTTGATAATTTAGTGTTGAAAACATATGATGAAGTTTCTTTGCATAATAATCCTAAAGATTGTTGGGTTATCATAAATGCTAAGGTATGTATAGAAAAACTTTCAATATTTTATTCCTACGGTACACAAAGTATTTTGCGTTTATGTAAATTCTGAAAAAGAACAACATTGTCCTAATGCAAACATTAGTAACTAATTCAATGGTCCAAATTCATCATGACAGGTATGTTACATGAATTTTCTCTTGGATCGAATGAGAACTAGCTAGATTCAATTTAATTATGCTTTTTTATGATCTCGAATTACATGTCTTATTGTATTTATGGAAGTCAACCCTGATCATGTTATAGATCAAAATTATGATATGATCATAGAATTTGTTTTTGAAACAAATTTATATTCAGAAATTACATTAAAAAAAAGTATTTTAATATATGCAGGCATACAATGTGACAAACTTCCTAAATGATCATCCTGGTGGTGAAGAAGTCTTGTTGGCAGCAGCAGGTACACCCAAGGAACCCCCCCCCCCCCCATATACATAAATAACATTGTAAAAGTATACTGGTTTTAATTATCAGTTATAGGAGAGCGCTAAGTATTCATATATTTTTAATCAAAAGTTCCGAAGTCAGATTTGAGTGTGGATTAATTTCCACCAATAAATCTTAGATTGTATAAAGCTCCTAATAGACACACAATAGTTTGGATTAAAAGTCCACAATGACCAACTTTCATCTTTGTTCGTGATCAGTCAGTCTAACAGTCGAGCAAACTTACATCATTACACTTACGAGCAAAAACTTAGCTTGAATCTACCTTCGTACACCTTCGTTACTTTTTGTATTTGATAAAGGGTAATCCCCCCGGATTCACAATATGACATGTGTGTTTACGGAAATTCAATAACTTTTGTCTACATCTTGTATATGTATTAAGAAATTTATTAAAATATTCTATTATAAACTCAGTTACTATCATACATATATTAATTCAAAGTCAATTATATGACCTCATAAACTTCAAATTATGCTTCCATCTAAGATTTCATATGGAGATTAATTTTTATAGGTAAGGATGCAAGTGAAGAGTTTGAAGAAGCAGGACATGGGAGTGCAGCAAGATTGATGCTAGATGAATTCTATGTGGGAGAAATTGATCCTTCTACAAAAATTAGTGCCACTTTGGACACCACTTCATCAACAAATTTTCTTGAAAAGCATAAAAAAATTGATTATTATCAAGGCAAGTCATCCAGGCAAAATAATGTAAAACTTCTTCAATTTTTGGTGCCAATTGTAATCTTGTTGTTGGGAAGTACTTTATTTAAGTTCTTGTATTGAAAGTATAGGGAATTTTTTTTAAGTGTGTTTGGTATTTCACTTTCATATTTGTGTCATTTGATGAGTTGAAGGTCCATCAAAATAATTGATTCGTACGTTCTGAACAATCTTAATGTTATGAGGTCAGATTCAAGATTCATTTTTAAAAAAAATTATAATATCTAAATTAACTTTAATCTCCATTCTTGATTTGTTTGATGTTAGATAGAGGAAATTAAAATCCTTTCCAAGTCGCCCCAAAACACAAAGTATGACAACAAGAGTCCCAAGAAATAATCACTATGATCATCACATGAGTAGAATGACCAATAACACTCTATGTGAAGAGGGGCCAAATTAATTAATGGACAATCATTTTTCACCTTAGAAAACTACTTCATTCGTCTCATATTATTTGTCGTATTTTTTCTTTTATGTTTTACACAATTCTTGAAAAAATATTAATTAGAAAAAGATTTTAATTATTTTTACCTTCAATATTTACTACATTGAGTTGTTTGTAGTTTTGAAGAACTAATCTTATCTTAAACTTTTAAAATTATATATAATTTTTTTTTAAAATCACAACATATAATTTGAGACAACGAATATTTTAGAAAAATTGGAAGGTTAATATTCTCAATGAGGAAATAAAAACATTAATTGGTTATGACCAAATGCACACCTCACAACACAATCTAAAGTAGTATATACTCACTATATATATGCATGACAGCTCTTGTAAGAAGGCACATGTAATTAATTTGTGCATTATATTGGCATGTGTTGCAACAATTGCAAACTTCAAGAAAGTTGCACTTAAATGTGTCTATAAATGGAATATGTTCACATCATGAAAGAGATTCCTTTGGTAGTTAGCTTATCCACTGAAAATATAAACAATTTTACACCATTTTTGTAAAAATAAAAATAATTGGGAGGGCAGGTGATGTGTGGGTGGGGTGGGTGGTGGGGGGCATCTCAACCAAACTCATAAATCAATAATAACAATTATATCTCAATATCAAATAAGTTGCTTATTTGTTGTTATCCAACTTTGAATAAAGGACAAAGGTTGTAGCAGATTGACAATTAACATAAAATTTGTTGTGATCCTAATGAAGTCCACAACCAAAATAATCTTAATTAAACATATCTTTTATAAATTTATCTTGATTCATGATTCAAGAAGACGAAGAGATTGATGATATAGATATTGCGCATTATATTGAAGTAGAGTGGATGAAATAGAGGTTAGCCTCTGGGATATTTTGTGATGGGAATATATCATCAAATTAAAGCTAGCTTAAAGGTAAAACAGAGTGTTGGTGATTAGACCTACTTTGTTGTATGGGGCATAATGTTGATCAGTCAAGAATATCAACGTACAAAAGATGAGCATAATAGAGATGAGGATGTGCAAATGGATGTGTCGACATACTAGGAGAGATATGATTAGGAATGAAGTTATAAGAAGCAAGACGAAAGTGACTTTCATGCAAGATGAGGGAAGTGAGACTAGAATGATTTGAACATGTGAAGAAGATAGCAAGGACACACTAGTAAGGAGACATGAAAGGTTGGTTGTAGTAGAGATAGGTCGAAGAAGAACCGAGGAAAAAAATGACTAGACAAAACATAATACTCCCTCCGTCCCTTTTTAGTTGTCCACTTTAGAAATGACACACAGATTAAGACAACAATGATTAGCACAGTGATGTTACAATTTACCCCTATGACAACTTTTCACTTCAAAATTACAACCACTTATTTGAATTAAAGTGAAATAAATTGGAGGGAAACAACATACACTTTTACAATTTTCAAGAAGTGTAAATAAGGGTATAATAGAAAAAAATTTGTTGTCCTTTCTTGATTTGTCAAAATGGACAACTAAATAGGGACAACTAAAAAAGGAAATATGGACAAGTAAATAGAGACGGAGGGAGTACAACTTAATAAATTAAAATGACCCTATATAGAAAGATAGTAAGGTAAAAAATTAACGTAAAAGACTAGGAGGTAAAGTTGAGTGTTGTCACACTTCATGTAGAATAGGTGGGATCTAGCCTTCTCACCTCTTCTCTTTTTAGCATTATTCTTTAGTTATCACATATATAGTTTCTTACTATTCGATGTATTAATATATGTTATTGTAATTGTTTTGTGTTTTGTTATTTTGTTGTTATATTTTTTTTTACAGTTTTGCGTTGAATACATATTTTTTTTATCAAGACTTTATCAGAAATAATCTCTCTACTTCCAAAAAAAATATATGAATATAATATACGTATATCACTCTTTTCAAATTTCACTTATAAAATTACACTAAATACGATAACAAACTATTACAATTATTAGACAGGTGAATTTTTTTTACTAATTTTCTATTTTACAAGTGGAAGAAGACACTGGCTGACCTTAGTACTGTTCATAATGCACAAATCTCCACATTGTGACTTCATCTACAGTTAGCTTCCAAAGTCTTTTGTAGAAGTGGGCCCTTTACATAAAAACAACCAAAATAGTTCTAAAATGTGAATTATTAATTTTAAAAGGGTGAAAATGTTTCACCTTATATTATTGAGTT